TTTTTTTGTGAGTGTACCGTCAAATCAGATCTGACTGGTACAGGAGGAGATTGTCCCTCCTTTTCCCGGCAGAGCATCTGGTGGATTCGAACCGTGAGCCACTGGGATTGTAGTTGCAGCTCCTTGCCACTAGGCCACCAGAGCTCCCCTTGTCAGTCTTTTTCTTGTAATGGCCCTCTAATGTTCTGTCAACTTTAGTTATGCAAGCCATTATGTCTATATCATTGCCAGATGTTTTTACCCAGGCTGTGGGCTTTCTTTTCACTCTATTTGAGAAAGTTTTTAATGCTCACAGGGATTTTATTTTAAGATTATCGTGAGGACTCTTGCCATGTTCAAGCTGTGGAGGGTAATATAAAAATGTCAGGGAGCCAAGAATACCTGAAAGGCATCCATATTTAAGAAATGGTTAAGCTGTGGTCCTTTAAAGGGGGAAAAAAAGAAGTAAAATTTACATAAGATTATATAGTATAGGTTAGCTAAATAAAAACACTAGACAAATCAAGAAAACAGACCAGAAACTGATCTGTAATATAGTCATTACCTTGATTTATGACTGCAGTTGCCCTAAGCAATGGGAAGAAATGACTAGTCTTCCCAGTAACTGGGACTACGTCAGATGATTATTCGTATAGAAGGTGAGGGGAAGAACCTTAGTCCAACCTGTCACACTGTATAAAACAAATAATTCCTAGTAGGATTTAGATGTAAATATGAAAGATAATTCAGCTTCTAGAAGGCAGTATAGAAGAATATATTCTTGGCCTGGGAATAAGCAGATTCGTAAGTCCACAAAAGTCATCTACCATTAGGAAGAAAATTCCCATAACTTTTTTTTTAATTCCTAGAACTTTTATTCAGCAGTAGTCACCATTAGGAAAGTGAAAAAGGCAGGCCACAGGGTAGAAGATAATATTGCTGTTGTTAAGTGCCGTCGAGTCGCAGGCGACTCATAGAGACCCTATGAAGGAGAGTCCTCGACGCTTGGGTGCCTTTCATCTTCTCTCCAGGTTCATAGGGTTCCCGGAGGCAAGCTATTACGGAAGTGGATGCCACTCCTCCTTCCAAGAAGATGATATTAGCAAGGCAAATAACCAAAAGATGATGTAAATGATTTACATGATGTTGTTGTGTACTGGAGAGTCAGAACCGAACCATAGCTGTTGTGTACTGGAGAATCAGAACCAACCCATAGCTGACCCTCTGGTGGGTTTTCAGAAGCATTTAATTGCACAGGAGGTGGTTGCCCTCCTTCTCCCGTGCTTCTGGTGGAGCAGCTAGTAGCCTCGAACTGTGGGCCTTCAGGATTGCAGTGCAGTTTCTTGCCAGTAGCACCCTAGAAAATTTGCATAAGCAATAAGAAAAAGTCAGGTGACCCAAAAGAAAAAGTAAAAATCTTCATTTTAAAAAGTGTTATAAAAAAAAAATTGTTGCACAACAGTGGATCCTTAAACAGCCAATAAACCATGAAAAATTGGTGAAACTTGTTAGTCTTCAGGGAAATGAAAATCAAAGCCACAATGTGAAACTCTTATAACTGACCAGAGGGGCTAAGACTGAAAAGGCTGAAAGGAAAAAAAACAAGCACAAGGAAGTAGGGTAACTGGAACACTGATGGGGAAAAAATAAACTGGTTCAACAGCTTTGGAATGCTGCCTTATAGAGCCATCCAGAGATGAGTGTGTTATGACCTAGCAGTCCAGTGTTGGCCTGTATCTAGCAGAAATGCTTGTCAACATGCACCAAGTGTGACGTACAAGTGTGTTAATGGCAGTATTATCCATAATATCCACAAATTCTAAACCACTTGATTGCCAGCTGTAAAAGGAGTAGCAAACTGTGGTAAATTTCATGTTGTTGTTGTATACCTTTCAGTCAGAACCCATACCTGTCAGAGGCAGTAAATCGCATGAAAGGAGCTTGCTCTTCCTTCTCCCTTGGAGCAGCTGGTAGATTTGAACCATATGCCTTTGGTATTGCAGTGCAAATTCTTACCACTTGGCCACCAGATGAATCAGTTCCTTATAAACACAGTAGTGAGACACTGGTGATTCAGTGAATTTCTCACCTTCCATGGAGGAAATCTGAGTTCACGTCCCATCTGGTGCACCTCATTTATAAGAACTCTCTTTACTTGAAATGTTTTGTTGATGTTGAATAGATTGTCTGCAAGGCTTACCAATCAAGATAGGATAGAAAGAAAGGCCTGGAGACCTATTTGTGAATAGCAGCCATTAAAAATCCTATGGATCACAGCAGTCTGATCCTTGCACAGGACCCAGCATCCTTTCTCTTGGTTGTTTATAGGGCCATCTCATGACTCAGAAGTCACCTTGAACAACAACAAAATGCAAAATCCTCAAGGACTCTCACGAACATAAGGATGAATGAAGGAAGCTAGAAACAAAGATTGCATACTTCCTTCCATCTATATAAAACCTAAACCTGGGAAAAGTAATTTATGGCTAGAAAGCAGGACAGTGATTATTGTGGGGGGCATAATGACTGAGATGCTTCCCAGCATGGGCTTCTCAGGAACTGGTCTTGTTCTGGAGGTGGTTACACAGATTTCTTCAATTTGAAAATTCATGACTGTTGGAACCATTTTTATATTTTACTTTGGTTAAATATATAACTTTTGGTAAAAAATATAACTTACACTCCAAGTATAGACACAATTTACTAAAATCATAGGGACAAAAAAGAGGTCTAGCTGGCGGGTTTTAGCCTGCGTATTATACTTGGCATTTCTTGTGGGAAATGTTAAAAGTCCTCATGGTGTAGTATTATGTGTTGGGCAACTAAACAAAGTCAGAAGCTCAAATTCTCCAGCTGCTCCATCAGAGAAAGATAGTACAGTCTGTCTGTAAAGGCTTCCCAGCCTCAGAAACTTAAGGAGTGCTCCCATGAGTCACAGCCTCCTTGATGGCAGTTGTTAGGTGCCGTTGAGTCGAGTACAACATATAGGGACCCTATGAACACCAGATCTGAATCTGTCCTATCCTGTGCCATCCTCACACTTGCTTACACACTTGATGGTGGTAGGTTTGGTTTTTTTATTTTAAAGGATGATTATGGTGTCCTTTTATCATGATTGTTTCGGTGTGGATCAGAATGTGAGTATCCAGGTGTTCTATTTTGAAATCTGTTTTCTGTACCCATCTATAAAATGTTTTCCTTTTTCTTGCAGTGGCTCCAGTTGCAGCCTGGCTGCTGGTCTTGAGTCTCTGGGGCTGACAGATATCCGAACACTGGTTCGGTTAATGTGTCTGGCTGCAGCAGGGAGAGCTGGCCTCTCCACCAGTCCCTCTGCCATGGCAAGCGCCTCAGAACGCTCACGAGGTGGGCACAGCAAGGCCAGCAAGCCCATTTCTTGCCTGGCATATCTGAGCACAGCAGTGGGTTGCCTAGCATCCAACACCCCAAGTGCTGCAAAACTGCTGGTGCAGTTATGTACCCAGGTAAGCTTGGGCTTGTGCTTTTTCTGTGACATAGCTTATTTCTGACTGGTTCTTGAAGAACCTTTTACAGTAAAACCATCTTTTTGTTCCAAACGTATATGTAAAAAGTAAACCTGTTTGTTCCAATTGCCTCTTCAGAACTTGATTTCTGCTGCAACAGGTGTAAATCTCACCACAGTTGATGATCCAATTCAACGGAAATTTCTACCCAGCTTTCTCCGAGGAATTGCTGAAGAAAATAAACTTGTGACCTCCCCAAACTTCGTTGTAACTCAAGCCCTTGTGGCGTTATTAGCTGACAAAGGGGCCAAACTGAGACCTAACTATGACAAGTCAGAAATTGAAAAGAAAGGTGGGTTTCATATTATTTCAATAGAAAACTTTCTAATCAACTTTGTTCATATTTTGGAAACTATTCTTTGCATTGTTTTATGTGAAAATGGCATGCTTAGATCATAAAAGACTAAATTTATATCATAAAAGAGAAGCACATGAATATATTTTTATTGTACATAGAACCAAATATGAGAAAATATGCTAAATTAGTCTTGTTGTAGATTGTATCTGAGCCCCCATAGATAATAATCCTGGTAGGTTGTTGTAGGAACGTTTAGATAAAGTAAGTGGAACACTCGGAAGGGCCTGCTTACTTACTGCTGCCTACCCTCCTCTTCATCAGGACCATTTGGCCCAGAGAGATGGACGTTTGCATCCATCAGCATAGTCCCTTGCAAGATCCCTTTTGAGCTGCAGAAGCCAAACTCGTGTTCTTAAGGGCATACTGCTACTTTTCTTGGCCACAAATGACATTCTGCTGCATAACCAATTTATTGTGTTCTTAGAGTGAAAATCTGTTGATTGATATATGTAAAATGTGCATTTACAGTGAATCCAATTATAGAATTTGATGTCAGATGAATGCATTATATCTTGTGTGTGTGTTTTAGTGAATGTTTGCTTGTAAAAGTGCTAATTTTTTTTTTTAAAAAATGGGAGTTAACCCATTTTTGTTTGTTCACCACCACCAACTCTTACCTGGGCATCATTTCATTGTTTTGTTTAAGCAGGTTTAATTGCCCAATTGTATGCCCATCCTTCCTATGATCCTTCTGCTGTAGGCCCTCTGGAGCTGGCTAATGCCCTGGCAGCCTGCTGCCTCTCCTCTAGGCTGTCCTCACAGCATAGGCAATGGGCTGCTCAGCAGCTCGTGCGCACTCTCGCAGCACATGACCGAGACAACCAAACTACTCCACAAACTCTCGCTGATATGGGAGGAGATCTCAGAAAATGCTCCTTTATCAAGTTGGAGGCGCATCAGAACAGGGTATGTATTCTGATTCTATGTGTGTTAATCGCCTTATTAAGATCAAAGAGTGCTTGCCTTTAGGTCTGTCAGTCTTTCTTGTTCTGACTCAATTACCAAGATTCACTGGTAATTAACCAGTTATCTTCTGTTTGCTGGATTAACAGAATAGTATACAAATGGGCAAGTGAGAAATAGTATACAAGTGGGAAGATAAGAAAAGTAAAGGGGTCGCTTCACCAAAGGTAAGGGTTTATACAGGCAAAAGCAAGATATATGGGCCTCATTACTATACTCTGGACCTCTAAACCATGACAGGGCAGATTAGGAAGCAAAGAGTAGCCTCTGTAACATCACACTATTAAAATCACTTAGTCTGTTATTCCCTTAATAGAACTCAAAATATATTAATGTATTTTAACATACTTGGCTTAACTTATTAAAATTCTAACAGGTGTCGGTTAAAAGGATTTAGCTCTATTACTTTCAAGTTATTCTTCCAATAAATATATACTGTGTTCTTCTGATGTACAGATAAATAATTGAAAGTGGAGGGAAGAGAATCCAGAAACTTGGACCACATTTTACCTTAAAATTAAGTTCGCTTCAGAAAGGAACCTTTGATTCTAATTTTGGAGACTGGTTAGGCTTGTAAGCTCCAGGAAATGGATACAGATAGAAGGAAGTTCCATTTATAAATTACTAAGGAAATAATTAATATTTCTGCACAGAGAGCTAGCTTGAACTAGGTAAATTATTTCTGACCAAAGATCCTTTTCAAAATGGCATGTATTCAATTCATTTTATAAACCTTCTTTCTGGAATAATTAAGAGTGCCATGAATTTTTTTTTAAAAATCCCACCACGCAGATAGAAATATACTTAGAAGACAGTAGAAAATGAGATTGTGTGCATTGCATCATAATATGGATACTTTTCTTTTACATATCTGTAGTACTTTTTTAATTTCAATATGATAGTTTTGGAGTCTGACTTAAGCCTTTAAATCAAAGCTTGTTTAAATATTACTGACACTTTTCAATTTTTCTAGGTCATGACATGTGTTTGGTGTAATAAAAAAGGTCTCTTGGCTACCAGTGGCAATGATGGCACCATCCGCGTATGGAATGTCACCAAGAAGCAGTATTCACTGCAGCAAACCTGTGTATTCAACAGATTGTGAGTGCTGACATTAGCTCATGCATGTGATATTTAGAGTCAGAAAATCCCAAATATGAATTGTCACTAAAATGTTTTAAAGTAGAATTATGGTAGCTTCAATTTTTAAAGGATGTTGTACTATTCAGGATACTGTTATTTAAAATATTGTATTACTGTTCAGTGTGTATTATTCAGAATTAAATCAGTATTCACTAAGATGTTCTGTTAACCTAGCAAACAGGCTAATTTTTCTTCAGTATTAAAAGGCTGTTTAAAAAGGCGAATTACATTGCTTTGTCATAATGTTGCATTCTTTATTTCATAGTCAGCTGAAGGTCATCCTTTTCTGAGGAATTACTAGAAACTAAGTGAACAGAAATCAGTATGCTGCAATAATATTAGCATGTGTAATCCATATAAATCAGAATGCTTTTGTTGACAGAATATATTACAGTAAATGATGATGAACAGTCTGAGAATCATATTTTTCATGTTTTCAAGTTTTTGTATTGTAAGATTACTGTTCGGTAGTCTATAAGAAACCCTCATTTTAAGATTTGGATTTTAAAAAAATTGGATTTTGTTTTCTTTTGAATGTTAGGGATTAGAGTGTTAAATGTATATATTTTTATATTTTAGGGAAGGGGATGCCGAGGAAAGCCTGGGGTCACCCAGTGATCCAAGTTTCTCACCTGTTTCCTGGAGTATCAGTGGCAAATATCTAGCTGGGGCTTTGGAAAAGATGGTGAATATCTGGCAAGTTAATGGTAAGATTGAAGTAAATACTTTCAAACTACTGTTTTTTTATTATTTTAACAAAACAAGGTAATGGGCGGCAAAGTATTTTATAAAGCAATGCATGGGAATGACTGAAACACAATGTGAATGAAGGATAGAGTGAAACAAAATGCATACTTCGTAAGCAAACCAATATATAATAAAAAAAATTTACAAATCTACGGAAAGGTTGAGTTTTCATTCATTCATTGTTAAAAGTTTTAGTCCCTCCCCAGTCTACTTTGCAATGCACCTCCTGTTCTAGATTGTTAATTGTCATATGTATAGTGCCTAATCATACATTTCTCTTAAGCAGCTCTTCCTCTTGTCTGTTCCAATGCAGTATTCTTTATCTGTCCACTCTTTTTGTATTCTCTCCCACCCCCACCCCATCAGTCTTGTTTTATAAAAATACTCTTTACAGTATTTGTCCTTTGTGACTGAGCTATTTCACTCAGCATAATATCTTCCAGGCTCACCCATTGTGCAGTGTTTTATAGTTTGTTGTTTTTTTATTGCTGTGTAATATTCCGTTGTGTGAATCTACCGCAGTTTTTCTATCCATTGATTTGTTGATTGGCAGTTGGACTGCTTCCATCTCTTTGGTATTGTGAATAATGCAGGAGTAAACATGAATGTATTAAAATACTCACAAACTATTGAAAGTACTTATGTTTTCTTTTTTCAACCATGATTTGAGTGAAAATTTATAAAATAAATTAATTTTTCATTCAACCATTCATACACATTTTGTTCTATACCATTATTTTTTAATGTCTATATTGTAATTTCACTTCTCCCACTTTCTCCCTATAATTCTGGTTTCCATTAATTTGGCTCTGTGTACTCCTTCCATCTTCTTTTGATACATCCTGGATCAGTCAACATTCTAGCTTTAAGTATTGCCACCTGTGGCTTAAATTTCTTTTTCAACTCCTTCAGCTTAAGAAACGCTGAGTGAGTCCGGCCCTTTTGATTTTCTGACTCCAGCTCTCTGCATATTTCATTATAGTATCTGGCTTTGTCATCCCGAGCAGCTTTTGAAATTTTCTGTTCAGGTCTTTGATTTCTTGATTTCTTCCTTTAGCTTTGGCTTCTCGGCGCTCTAATGGAATACTCAGAGTCTCATCTGACATCCATCTTGGTCTTTTCTTTTTCGTCAGCCTTTAATGACCTTTTGCATTCTTCATGGATGATTTTCTTGATATCCTCCCAGAGCTCATTTGGTCTACACTCATTGGTGCTTAAGGCCTCAAACCTGTTCCTGAGATGGTCTTGAAATTCGAGTGGGACATACTTAAGGTCAAATCTTGGTTCCCGTGGACTTGACTTAATTTTCCTCAGCTTGAGCTTGAACTTGCATATGAGTAGTTGGTGGTCTGTCCCACAATCAGCACCTGGCCTGCTTTGAGCTTCTCCAGCAAATCTTTCCACAAATGTAATCGATTTGATTCCTATGCATACCATCAGGTGAGATCCATGTGTATAGCCTACATTTATGTTTCTTATAAAAGGTATTTGCAATGAATAGATAATTGAATGTGCAGAACTCTATCATTCTATCTCCATCCTCATTTCTCTCACCAAGCCCGTGTTTTCTAGCTACTGATCCTTCTTCCTTGTTCCCAACTTTTGCGTTCCAGTTGCCCATTATTATTAATGCATCTTGATTGCATATTTGATCAGTTTCTGACTGCAAAAGTTGGTAGAAATCTTCTATTTCCTCTTCTTTGGCTTTAGTTGGTGAATATATTTTAATGATAGTGGTATTCACTAGACTTTCTTGTATGCGGATGGATATTATCCTGTTGCTCACCACATTGTATTTCAGGATAGATCTAGAAATGACTTTTTTAATTATGAAACCAACCCAATTTTTTCTCACCTTTTCATCCCCGGCATAGTAAATCATATGATCATCTGATTCAAAATGTCCCATGCTAAGCCATCTCATTTTGCCAATACCTCATATGTCAATATTTATGCGTTCCATTTCTTTCTTAACAATGTCCAATTTTCCTACATTCGTGCTTCTCACATTCCATGTTCCAGTCACTAGTGTCTCCTTACAGCTGTTCCTCTTTCTCCGTGTTTCTGTTTCTAAGATCTCAGTTTCAGTTGTCATGTCTGTTAGTCCAAATGATAGTCTGAAGTGTGCTCTATTGTACATAGAGTTTTCAAAGGCCAGAGGAATTTCATGAAATAACATATGAGCCTACGGTGATGAAGGAGGAAGTTCAAGTTGCTATGAAGGAATTGGCAAAAAACAAGGCTCCAGTTGACAGCATACCAATTGATTTCAACAAACAGATGCTGCCCTGGATGTGCTCACTAAGTTGTCCCAGGAAATCTGGAGGATAGCCAGCTGGCCAATTGACTGGAAGAGATCAATATTTGTTCCCATTCCAAAGAAAGGTGACCCAACAGAGTGTGGAAATTATCGAACAATATCATTGATACCACGTGCAAGCAAGATTTTGCTGAAAATTATCCAAAAACATTTGGAACAATATGTCAACAGAGAACTGCCAGATGTACAGGCTGAATTTAGAAGAGGTCGTGGTACTAGGGATATTATAACTAATGTTAGATGGATCTTGGCAGAAAACAGAGAATAGCAGAAGAATGTCTATCTGTGCTTCGTTGACTATACAAAGACTTTTGACTGTGTGGATCACAAGCTATGGCTGACTCTGAGAAGAATGGGACTCCTAGAACATTTGATTGGGCTAATGCTAAACCTATACTTGGACAAAGAGGCAGTCGTCAGAACAGAGCAGGGAGACACCGGATGGTTCAAAATCAAGAAAGGGGTCTGTCAGGAATGTATTTTGTCTCCATACCTTTTCAAGCTGTATGCGGAATAGATCATCCGAGACGCAGGGCTGTACAAGAAGGAATGTGGCATCAGGATTGGCGGAAGAATCGTCAACAACCTGCATTATGCAGAAGACACAACCCTGCTTGCTTAAACTGAGGAGGACTTAAAGCGCTTGTTGCAGAAGGCCAAGGACTGCAGTCTTCAATATGGATTGAAGCTCAACATCAAGAAAACAAAGATTTTCACCACTGGGCTAATTGGCAGCATCAGTATGGATGGTGACGAGATTGAGATAGTTAACAGTTTTAGTTTGCTTGGTTCCACAGTCAACACTCTTGGTAACAGCAGCCAGGAAATCAGGAGACTAATTGCATTGGGAAAGTCAACTGTGACTAAAGATTACTAAAAGAGCTATGACATCAGGCAGGAGACTAAGGTGCGCCCGATCCAGACTATAGTATTTGCAATTACGTGCTGTGCATCAGAGAGTTGGACAGTGAATAGGGATGACAGAAAGAGAATTGATGCCTTTGAGCTGTGGTGCTGGAGAAGAGTGTTGAATATACCATGTACTGCTAGGAGAACAAACAGGTTTGTCCTGGAGAGGGTGAAGCCAGAATGTTCCTTGGAGTCAAGGATTCTGAGACTTCATCTGACATACTTTGGGCATGTTGCAAGGAGGGATGGTCCTTGGAGAGGGACATCATGTTTGGCAGAGTGGAGGGATGGCGCAGGAGAGGAAGACCCTCCTTGATATGGATCGATTCTGTGAGTGGAGTGGTGGGAATGAGTGTGTTTGAGATGGCTAGGTTGGCACAGGATAGAACGTTTAGGCTCTTGTACATAGGGTTGCTATGAGTCGCAAGCAGCAACAACAACAACACTAATTTGAAGGTACTTTTCAAACTGTCATTTGCTCAGCCTTTCTCTTAGCCATCTAACTACCAACCATGACTTCTTTTCCCCTTAAAACTCACAAGCTATTTAAAAAACTGTGGATATCCAGGCTTAGTGTGGTTTAGAATAGTGAAGAAATGCTAATTTTCTAACTTTAACTCTGATAAAGTTACCTGGTACTTATTGTTGTTATGTACCATCGAGTTGCCTGTAACCCATAGTGACCCTAAACCCTGTACAAGAGCCCTAAACCCTGCTCTCTATCCTGTATCTTACTGTCTCTGACACACCTACCCTCATTACCCCAGTCACTGAATCAGTCCATAACCCGGCAGTAGTAAGCTAAAAATTTTCATAGGAAAGGAGAAAAGAAGACATTTAAATAACAAACAGACACATTCAGAAATGCTCAAGATCATTAGCTGCTCTTGTTGGTAGGTGCTATCAAGTCAAACTCATAGTGACTCTATGAACAATAAATCAGCACCTTGTTCTGTCTTGCACCATCTTCATTATCCCTGCCATGCTCAAGATTATTGTGGTCACTTTGTCAGTCCATCTTGTTGAGGGTCGTCCTTGCTTTCTCTGTCCCTCCACTTTTCTCAACATGATATCTTTTTCTAAGGACTGGCTACTCATGACAGCATGCCCAAAGTTTGTGAGACAAAGATTTACAATCCTTGCTTCTGAAGAGCACTCTGGTTATGCTTCCTCCAAGACACTTTTTTTTTCTGTCTATGGTATATTCAGTACTCTTTGTCATCACAATTCAGAAGCTTCAGTCTTTCTTAGTCATTGTCCAACTTTCGTATACATAGGAAGCAATTGAAAATGCCTTGGTTTGCGTCAGATATACCTTAGTCTTTAATCTGACAGCCTTGATTAGCAGCTGACATCCTTGCTTTTTGGCACTTTGGAGAGATCCTTTTCCCTGTGCAGTACATCATTAGCTTTAAAGACTTGCAAATAAAGCAACCAGTCAGGTAGCACATTAGTAGCAGTTGTTGTTGTTGTGTGCCATAGGTGACCCCTGTCCCCCCATCCGGTTTTCAGAGGCAGTAAATCGCAGGGGAGGAGATTGCCTGTCAGTGTGGTAGAATTGAATGATGTGGCTTTTGATTATAGGGCAGTTTCTTACCTCTAAGCCACCAGAGCTCCTTTCAGTTAGAGACATGCAAATCAAAACAAGGATATCACCTCACCCCAGCAACCATAGCAAAGTTTAGTAGGACAGTAAACAACAAATGCTGACTAGGGTGTGAGGAGATTGGAATCCTCTTATCCTGCTGGCAGAAATGTAAATTGATAGATACAACCGCTGCTGAAGGTAGAGTTTCCTTAAAAGGTTGAAAAGATAACTATTTGAACCAGCAATCTCACTACTAGGTATATGCCCTAAAGAAATAAAAAGTGCAACTTGAGCTACATATGCACACCTGTGTTTATCACAGGATTATTTACAACTAAATAATGGAAATAACTCAAATGTCCATCAACAGAGGAAAGGCTAAAGAACCCACAGCACAGTCGCAAATCAGAATCTTGGGCAACTAAAGAAGTCAGGAAACACAGCAGAGCATGTGTTTTGCTGAATTACATACGCTGAGTGATAGAAGTCAGGCACAGAAAGACTATATCTTGTATAATAAAAAGGAGCTCTGGTGGCCCTGTGATAAAATGCTTTGCTTCAGTCCTAAAGGCATGCATTTCAAATCCACCACCTGCTCCACAGGAAAAAGATGAGCGGTCTCCTCCCATGAAATTTTACTGCCTCTCAAAATGCACTCAAGGGTCAGCTGTGTGTCGGTTCTGACTTGATGGCACAGAACAACAAAAGCAACAGTATAAAAAGCTAAGGGAAGATTTACACATGGAATTCCTGGATAATTTCCAAGATTGAAAAGGGAGAAAGTAAAACTTGATAAATAGATAGTAAATACTTATGAAATTGAATAAATGGACAGGCAATAATAAATTAAGCAAGTATTGTAATGTTATAAACAAAATATGTATGGATAATGAATGAAAAACCTTTATGGTTTGTAACCTTTCACTCAAATCACAGTAAAATAAAAAGAAAAATATTTTTGTATACTGCTGACCGTTCAGGTTAGAGTTTGAGGAAAACTAGTGGTCACTGAATTTTAACTGTGTAGTCTTTTGAATTCCTTTAAATATTTATATGAATTTTGTTTCCTAGATGTAACTATTTTTATTTATATTAGAAAATTAAAAAGAAAAAAGTCTTTGTTAATGTCTTGGACAGTAGCTAACCTTAAGTATAAATTTTTTGTGTTAATACGGTTTTCAGTAGCTATTGGGAAAGGATGTAAATGTGTGGCATTTGTACAGTGTTTTTCTTTATTTTCTCTCTAAAGTTCTCCTTTAGTAGTATTAATACTGGGGGGGAAAGCCTATTAATTTGACAGTTATAGATAAAAATATAAAGAAGAATCCTAAGTTCTCAGAGCAAGAAAGTAGTACATGGTTCTAAATCATGAAAGGACTATATCAGGAATGTGACCTATCTCCATACCTTTTCAATTTATATGCGAAATAAATCATTCTGGAGGCTGGGAGGAGGAATGTGGCGTCAAGATTGGAAGAAGATGCAAATCAAAACAAGTATGAGATATCATCTCACCCCAGTAAGAATAGCAAAATATAACAGAACAGCAAACATCAAATGCTGGTGAGGTTGTGGAGAAATTGGAACCGTTATTCACTGCTGGTGGGAGTGTAAAATGGTGCAACCACTATGGAAGGCTGTGTGGTGCTTTCCAAGAAAGTTGCAAATCGAAATACCATTTGACCCAGCAATCCCACTGCTGGGAATTTACCCTAAAGAAACCATAACTGCCACCCAAGCAGATATATGTACACCCATGTTTATTGCGGCTTTGTTCACAATAGCAAAGAGCTGAAAATAATCCAAGTGCCCATCAAGAAACAAATGGATAGAGAAGCTCTGATATATTCACACAATGGAATATGGCATTGAAAAACAAGGAACTCATGAAATATGCAAAATGGATGACCCTGGAGGACATTATGCTGAGTGACATATCTCAGTCACAAAAGGACAAATATTGCATAGGGCCACTGTTGTAAAACGGGACTGACATCGGGCTTGAGGGAAGACAGCAAAGGAGGGGAGGAATGATGTATATTGCCTTGAAACAGATGAGGGAGAGATCTGTTTAAAAGCGATATATGAATAGTTATTACTGTCATCACAGAAATCCAGAATAAAGGCTGCATAGTGGAGTGAACTTGGGGGGAGGGATTGCATAACAATGAAAGAGTTTTTCTTTTCAAGGAGAAGTCCAGAATAGAGGCTGCATAGTGGAGTGAACTTGGGGGGAGAGATTGATTGCATAACAGTGAAAGAGTTTTTCTTTTCAAGGAGAAGAGTGATTTGGGGAGTGGGGGTGGGCAGGGAGAAAAGTGCAACAATGAATGACTGGAAACTCTAAGTCTCTGTAAACTCTCATTAAAATTAATAAATTTTTAAAAATTAAAAAACTAGGAAAAGAAAGATTGGAGGAAGACTCATCAACAACCTGCATTATACAGATGACTCAACCTTGCTTGCTGAAACCAAAAGCCTGAAGTATTTGCTGCAGAGGATCTAGGACTATAGTCTTCATTATGGATTAAAGCTCAATATCAAGAAAAAGAAGATTCTCACCACTAGGCCAATTGGCAGCATCGTTATAAATGGAGAGGAGATTGAGATTGTTAACAATTTCAGTTTGCTCAGCTCCATAATCAACACTTTGGAACCAGCAGTCAGATAATCAAAAGACAAATTCAGTTAGGAAAATTTGCTGTTCAGGAACCCCTCCAGAGGGGTGTCAACAGTGTCAGTTTAAAGACTAAGATGCACCTGATCCAGGCCATGATCTTCACAATTACCTGTTAGCATCAGAGAGCTGGACAATGACCAAAGATAATAGAAGAATTGATGCCTCATGTTGTGCTGGAGAAGAGTATTAAACATACTGTGGATTGCCAAGAGAACAGGTCTGTCTTGGAGAGGGTGAAGCTGACCTGTTCCTTGGAGGCAAGGATTTTGAGACTCAATGTCACATACTTAGGGCATGTTGCCAGGAAAGACCAGTCCTTGGAGAAGGATATCATGAGATGGATTGACACAGTATCTGGGGTAAAGACAGTAGGTGTGTCAGAGACAGTGAGATTGGCCTAGGATAGAGCGGGGTTCAGAGCTGTTGTGCATAGGGTCGCTATGGGTCATGTTTGACTTGATGGCACATAACAATAACAACAATAGGCTCTGGTGGCCTAGTGATAAGAAGCTGAACTGCAATCCCAAAGGCACATGGGTGGAGAAGGATGAGCAGTCTCTTCCTGTGAAATTTACCGCCTCTGAAAACCCACTAGAAGTTCAGCTGTGGGTTGTTTCTGACTCACCAGTGAACAAGAAAAACATTATTAAATTGGGAACTTCTTTGCACATCTATGGGAACTGGTGAATGTTTATTTTTCTTTTTACTGTGTTTGAGAGTAATGTAACAACTAGTTAATATTCTCTCTCCACTTAGGAGGAAAAGGATTAGTAGATATTCAGCCTCATTGGGTATCAGCCCTGGCTTGGCCAGAAGAGGGTCCGGCTGCAGCCTGGTCAGGAGAGTCTCCCGAGTTGTTGTTGGTGGGACGGATGGACGGCTCTCTAGGACTTATTGAGGTTGTTGATGTGTCCACCATGCACCGTCGAGAGCTGGATCATTGCTATCGAAAGGATGGTAAGTGATGGTTTAAGAAACAGACCCCACTAACCTCCAGCGCCAACCATTACATACTTAGATTTTTGGCACTTAGTTTTTTAAAATGCTGAGTGAATATTGCTTTCAGCTTTATTTTCTAGATTGTCTGGTGGCATTTTATTTCAGTTATTTTCTAAATTGAAAGAGATTTCTCTCCCAAGCCCCACAATCTGTTGCTGCCAAAATGAGATTTAATAGCATGACATGTTGGTCATTCATCTTCAGTGAAGGTGATTTGACATTTAGAGCAGGTTCCACGTTTCCTCTAAAGATTAGGAATGTCAAAAAGAAGGACAATAAAAATTATTAGTAGCAATGAAATTGTTAACCAGTGGGTAAAATAAAGGAAATTAGGAGGACCAAGAGGGAGAATTTCTTGTGTGGCAAGAGGTAAATAAAAAGTAATCTCTCTTCATTCATTTTTTCACTGTCCCTTTCCTGTAGGTCAGCATCTCTCTTTTTTTTTTCTTTTCATTTGTTAATTTTTATTAATTTTAATAAAAATTTACAGAGACTTTGGATTTCCATTCATTCATTGTTGCATTTTTCTCCCTGCCCAACCTCCCCCACAGTTCACTCTTTTCTCTTTGAAAAGTAAAAGAAAAATTCTTTCATTGTTACACAGTCCCTTCTCCCACATCCACTCCACTATGCAGCCTTCGTTCTGGACTCCTGTCATGACAGTAATACCTAATCATATGTCCCTTTTAAACAGTTCTCTCCCTCATCTGTTTAAATGCAGTATACATAATTTATCCCATCTTTCTCAGTCTCCCCCTAACCCCGATGTCAGTCTCATTTTACAGCAGTGGCACTTTGCAATATTTGTCCTTTTGTAACTGAGATATTTCACTCAGCATAATGTCCTCCAGGGTCACTCATTTTTAATAATATTTTATTAGTTCCTTGTTTTTTAATACAGCTTAGTATTCCATTGTGTGAATATACTAGAGCTTCTCTATCCATTCATTTGTTGATTGGCACTTAGGTTGTTTCAAACTCTTTGCTATTGTGAACAAAGCTGCAATAAACATGGGTGTGCATTAGGTCAGCATCTTATTAAAAAATTTGTGTTATATAATTTTGAAGAGTAAGATAATCGTAGTCTTCAGTTTTCTAGTACTGGCTCTGCTAATAGAACAGAATAGGTTTGTTAAATTATTTTTTAGATTTTTTTCAATAAATAATAGCTTCATATTGTAAAACAAAAATTAAAACATTTAAACAGTGAAAAGGCTTTCTTTACTGACTCCACCTCTGATAAGTACTACTTTGAAAAAATGTTTTTAGTTTTCCAGTGGTATGGGGGATTTTTTCTCCCCATAGGAAAAAAAAAAGGTTGTGGGGTTTTTTTATCTCCATTGGTATATATTTTTAAGCAAGTAAGAATATCGATTTTTAGAGTAGAACTTTTTTTTTTTATAAAATGTGGAAATCCTTTGTATCGGGAGTATTACACACAAGCAGAAAGGACAGCTGGTTTTCTATCAATGACTTATTTCAATTATTAGTACATGGTAGATTCTTGCTCAGAAGCAGCTTGATGCAGTGACCTGAAAAGAAATTAAATTTGGTCTGAGCTCTGGTTAGCTGTGCTACTAACCCAAAGGCACATGGTTCGTATCTACCAGTTGCTCCACAGGAGAAAGATGGGCATTTTTTCCTCCTATGCAATTTACAGACTCTGAAAACCCACTGAAGGGTCAGCTATGAGTTGGTTCCAACTCAGTAGTGCTCAACAACAAAACAATCTTTCAATAATAACCTAAAAAAAAGGCAAAAGATGACAGTCTTTAAGACTTATAATAAGCACTTTAAAACAGTTTATATGAGTTTGACACTTCTTCAAAAGTTATACATAGAATTTCCGTTCTCCTCCTCCTCCTATGGTTGCTGCTAAGTTGAGCCCAACTCATGGTGGCCTCACATGTGTCAGTGGCTGCATCTTCACTAGGAGGTTGCCAGACTTTTCTGAAGCTGTTCCAGTCCTACGTGTGGATTGAGAGAAGGAATGCAATTGTTATTGCAGCATTATTCATAATAGCCAGGGGATGGAAACAGCCTAAATGTTTATTATTTATTAGCAAGTGAATTGATAAAATGGCAAATGCATACAAAGGACTATTTATTACTCAGTTACATAGAGAAATGCTACAGTATGAATCAACTTTGAAAACAGCATGCTGTGGTAAATAAGTCAATGACAAAAGGAAAAACAATATATAATTTCATTTATATGAAAGCTCTAGAATAAGCAAGTATATAGAAACTTTGCGCTGGTGGCCAAGTGATAAGCAGCACAAAGGCACACAGTTCAAATACACTAGTTGCTCCCTGGGGGAAAGATGGACAGTCTCCTGTGTGATTTACTGCCTCTGAAAACCCATTGAAGAGTCCACTGTGAGTCACTTCTGACTTGATGACACATAAGAACAATAATATATACATAGGATCGCACAATTTGATGTGTATGAACTTTGTATTTAAACCAGTACAAAATAAAAAAAATAATAATAATAATACAGAAACCAAATGAGTTAGAATCAACTTGACAACAACAGTTGGTGGTTTTTTGGTTCTTCTTTACTAGAGGTAATTGCTTATTTGGCCCTGAATTTCTGTTTAGGGGGATGGAAAACTTGGAAATGGACAATAGACTGTGGTAATAGTTGTACAACAAGATGAATTAATGTCACTGAATTATTTGGTAACAAATAAACTGGCAAGTATTTTGTTATGTGAATTTTAACCACAATTGGGAGGAAAAAAATAGATGAACTCTTTACTGGAAGTCATTTGGAAAGTTCACATTTGTGGTTTTAATAGCATGTACTGGCTTCCAGGCTCTCCGTCTTTCAAGTTTCAGTGAGGATTAAGTGTCTCCTCTTCTTTTTATTGGTTAGTGTCAGTAACTTGCATTGCTTGGTTCAGTGAAGACAGACCATTTGCAGTGGGGTATTTTGATGGAAAATTGTTACTGGGAACAAAGGAGCCACTGGAGAAAGGAGGCATCATTCTTATTGATGCACATAAGGTAAAGCAGCTTTGCTAGATGGTCCCCCTTTTTACTATTTTGCTAATAACGAATAAAAACTTAATGCTTGTTTCATTTAAAATCATCTACTGTAACCAAGAGTTGCCAATTAAATGTTCACAGGACCATATAGACAAATGGCATAACTTAATAAAATGTACAAATGCTAATAATGACAAATAAGCACATCTTATCTGAATCATAATTTCATAACTCATTCCTTCAACTAACATTTATCCAGCTTTAACTGCAGTGGGTGTGTATAATACAGCATACATTGCAGACTAAATGAAAGGATAAATTGGTGTAGTGATAGAGTGTGACATGACAGTCTCTATAATTTATATAAAATACTGACCTTATGTACTCAGATTAACTGAGTAGTAAAAGTATTAGTTTTAAAGGCTTATTTTTAACCTATTTAATTGTTGAAGGCACCATGAAAAAAAGCATTATTCTGATTTCTTTCCCCGCTCCCTCTTCTGTTTTAAGGATACCCTTATTAGTATGAAATGGGACCCATCAGGTCACATCCTTCTAACATGTGCCAAGGAAGAAAATGTGAAACTCTGGGGACCTGTTTCAGGGTGCTGGCGCTGTCTCCGTTCCCTCTGCCATCCATCTATTGTAAATGGGATTGCTTGGTGCAGCCTCCCAGGGAAGGGAGCCAAGTTACAGTTACTGATGGCTACGTATGTTATCAATTTGTGTGTATGAATGTGTTTGTGTCTTTATTTTTATATTAATATAGATTATTACTTCCATTAAATGTGACTGTGTGCTAGTCTTGCACAATCTATTACCATGTAGGGCATTACGATGAGTAAATAGCATATGACCTTCTCAGAGAGGAGGAGAGCAACTCCCGTGTGAAACGCAGTATGTGATCTCCTGACTCAGAGGGGATTTTAGAATAGTGGCCCCACTTATTAAAGAGTATACTTATTACTTGTGAAAGAATATACATCTCTATGACAAATACATTTAGAACTAATTTTGTATAGTGTATCAGATCTTAATTGTGTGCTGTTTGAAAATATTTTTGTTTGCATCAGTATATTGATAAGTTTTGGTTTTATATGTGTCTATTTTTCTTTTCTTTCCTCACTAAGTGGCTGCCAGAGTGGCTTAGTTTGTGTGTGGCGTGTTCCACAGGATATCACACAAACCAATGTGACGAGTTCAGAAGGATGGTGGGATCAAGAGTCAAGCTGCCAGGTGAGTGTTCTGGTGTGTTCCAGGAGCCCAGAACCAAATGTGTGTATGGCATCAAAGTGTAACACCCCCTAGATTACTAAGACCCATTAGGGATTTGTAAATATTTTTCATACTTCGTGAGCACTCTGAATTTTTTAAATAAGTCACACACCATAATTGCTTTATTAATGCAAGAGAGTCAGTAAAAATTAACTGGCAATTATAATGGTAATGGATACAATCAACATTATCTTAGGCTGGGTTCCCTAGAGAGGTAAAACCCAGGAAGCTTAGATATAGTTCAGAGAAAAGGATATTTGTGCTTGTAGAGGCTGGCAGTCACAGGACTGGGGCCACACTTCAAGAGAGGAGCATCCGGGAAGGCCAGTGACTCCAGTCATTGGACAAGCAGGCAGGGGGGTCCCAGATTGCTGACTTTGGAGACTGCCAGCTTCAGAGGCCAATTAGTCCAAAGTTGACAAGCTTTGGAGGTCATGAACTAGAGAGTCAGATGTATCGGACAAGCTCCCTAGTTTCTCCAGAGAGTCCACACATATATTCAGTGCAAGCCACATTTCTAATCCCACTTTATTAACATCTAGAAGTTAGAATTTATAGCATGTAACTACGTTATACTGGGGGTCATGGTTACTTTAACACACAGTATTAACCGCCACAAACGCCATAAGGGATCAATCTTCCCTAAATTCAGTCTTTGGTTGAGTAGCATAGGAACACTGTGGGAACAATCCTTCTCCAAAATATTCTGATAACAGAAATTCCATCAGTGATGAATGAATCATTTACCATAAACAGATAATCACAGGACTGTCTAGTAGATGAAGGCAGATAATTATATGGAAGGTATAAGGTTGTTGTTGTTGTTGTTGTTGT